CTCCACATGAGCTGGGGTGGGAGGGATGAAGGGTAACAGATTTAAACATCTGAAATCCGGAACACAATTAGCTAAGATATACATCACCCCTATGTGGGGTGGGGGGGCGAGTGGGGGTGCGGGGTCTGGGAGGGAGTTAGGGTGCAGGAGGGGGTTCCAACCTGGAGCAGGAGGTTCGGGGTGTGGGCTCCGGCCGGGCAGTGCTTACCTCAGGCAGCTCCCAGTCAGCGGCGTAGCGGGGGTAAGGCAGGCTCCCTGTCTGCCCTGGCTCTGCACTGCTCCCCAAAGCAGCCACCATGTCCAGCCCCTAGGCAGAGGCGCGGCCAAGCAGCTCTGCGCGGTGCGCACTGCTCACAGCCGCAGGCACCACCCCCGCAGCTCCCATCGGACACAGTTCCCGGCCAATGGGAACTGCAGAGCTGGTGCTTGGGGCAGGGGCAGCATGTGGATCTTCCCTGATCGCCCCTGTGCTTAGGGGCCGCAGGGACATGCCAGTCATTTCCGGGAGCCGCGCAGAACCAGGGCAGGCAAGAAGCCTGCCTTAGCCTCGCTGCACTGCTGACCGCACTTTTAATGGCCTGATCAGCGGTGCTGATCGGAACCGCCAAGGTCCCTTTTCGACTGGGTGTTCCGGTCAAAAACCGGATGCCTGGCAACCCTAGGTTTGGGGGCGGAGAAGGAGACACACACCAGTCTTCTCTCCCACACTTAGTTACTGTAACAAACATGTTGTAAAACTGTCAAGGTTTTGGGACATAGACCGTGGATGAGATTTCTCTTACCAGCGGTTAGCAACTACACATTGCAAAGGCTATCCCCATTCCACTGGAACACAATGTGCGAGGGGGAAGAAGCACTGAGGAACTGCATAGCAACCAGGTGGCCTAGTGCAGGATTTTCCAAAATTGGGAATGTTTCAAAGGGTCGGTCTCATGGCAGCTCCTGTGGCTCCTGTCCCACAGGGCTGGCTGGGCTCACCTCCCTGCTCCAGGCACTACAACCTCTGGGGTCCCAGAGCCACTCAGGTTTGGCCCAGCTGTCATGATGACGGGAGCCTCGATAGGCCAAATTTGAGTGAGTCGCACTGCAACCCCATGAGCTGGGCCAGAACTCCACTCACCAATTTGGTCCAGTCAGGGGGGCGGAGTCAAACCTGAGCAGTGCTGCAACCCCGGAGGTTGCAATGCTGGGAGTGGAGAGCCAAGTCCAGCCAGTCACAGCACAGGAGCTACCACCCACCAGCGGGCCAGGACCCAACCAAGACCACCTCAGGGCTTCCACGCCCAGACTATTTACTGGGCTGCGACAGGACATAAACATTTACAAATGAGTCCTGAGCCCAAAAAGGTTGAGAACCACTGGCCTAGTGGAAACACCACTGTATTTAGACTGTTCCTAGCTCTGCCGCTGGCCTGCTGGGTGACCCTGGCAAATCAGTTTCCCATCTGTAGAATGGGGATAATGATGTAAAGTTCTCTGAGAGCTACTGATGAATTGCTCAATATAAAAGCTAGGTCTTTTAATTATTACCTTGCCACAGTAGCATATCAACTGCAAACCTAGGTGAGAACTACACCTGTCTAAATGGCCACTAACTCCTACCAACAAACATTTCTCTTTCTGTTTAAAAATTTAGGAAATTAAAGGGGGGAAATACATTGCCCCAGAGTGCAGGTTGCCCAGTGATAGCTCGTGCCCTTCCAGCATGCTGAGTTCAGCAAAACTCAGACTTGAGAAAACCAGGAACTAGAGTTCAGGTAAACACCCAGACAACCTTATCTTCGCCCTCTTTGAGTGGTGCCTCAATACAACCATAACACACACATTTGTGCTGTGTCTTTTTACTGTACTGGACAGGTGCTACCTACACCTGCCCTATGTTCCAACATGGAGCTTACTCCCCTGACCTAATACCATACTTGAAAAATGTAATAACCACTCCATACCCTTCTACAACCCCTTCACACCCGCACACAGGAAACCACCAAACCTGTACTTTCCCCTACCAATCATTAAATCCACCAACAGCTCTCACATCCCACCTCACTACCCATGATACCCATGGCAAGAAGAGCCCGGTGTCCTGCTCCTGACATGACCGATGCAATTCTGTGCTGAAATGATGCTGACAGGACCCTCAAAGTACACACGTGCACCTCTTCCTTTGATCACACACTGGGGGACTCAGACCTACTCATATCACAATCACAGCTCCTCCAAGCTGCTCCAATGTATTCCTCTACCATTGAATATGGCTCTGACTACCACAGTGAATGCAGCTGGAGCGCATGCAGACAGTGGCGGATTTAGAGTTAGTGGGGCCCTGTGCTCAGCTTCATTTTTGAGGCCCCTCCTTGGGACCCAGCCAAGAAAAAGAACATTCTCTCTTATCTCCTCCCGCCCCCCGCCTCCGTTTTTCATTCTTTTTTTCTTCATCCTCCTCCTATAAGTAATAGGAAGTAAATGAAAATAAAGTGAGGTACCTTGATTGTTTTTGTAGTCTAACTTATTTTTCCACAGACCACTTGAAAATCGCCGAGGGTCTCGGCGGACCCCTTAATGATCTTTCTAAATATTGTTTGTCCCGTTAGCTAACTATTGGAAACCGCTTTGAATAAGAGCACTTTATAAAAAAAAAATATGTAAAAAAGCGTTGGGGTGCGGGGTCTGGCCAGGACTTATGGTGCAGGAGGGGGCTCAGGGCTGGGGGTGCAGGGTCTGGGAGGAAGTTAGGGTGCAGGAGTAGGTTGGGGGTTGGGGTGCAGGGTCTGGCTAGGAGTTAGGATGCAGGAGGGGGCTCATGGCTGGGACAGGGGGTTGGGATGTGGAGCGCTTACCTGGGGCAGCTCCCGTTTGGTGTGAGGGGTGCAGGTGGGGATGTGGGGGGGTGCAGGAGTCAGGGCTGCAAGTGTGTAAGGGGGATGCAGGAGTCAGGGAAGGCAGGTGGCTGGGGGTGTGTGAGGGGGTGCAGGAGTCAGGGAGGGCAGGTGGCTGGGGAGCGAGAGGGGGTGCAGGAGTCAGGGCTGGGGGTGCAGGCTCTGGGAGGGAGTTAGGGTGCAGGAGTGGGCTGGGGGTTGGGGTGCAGGGTCTGGCCAGGAGCTAGGATGCAGGAGGGGGCTCAGGGTTGGGGCAGGAGGTTGGGGTGTGGAGCGCTTACCTGGGGCAGCTCCTATTTGGTGCGAGGGGTGCAGGTGGGAATGTGTATGGGGGGCTGCAGGAGCTCCTGTTTGGTGCTCAGGGTGAGGAGGAGATGTGGGGGTGTGTGTGCAGGAGTCAGGGAGGGCAGGGGGCTGGGGGTGTGTGAGGGGGTGCATGAGTCAGGGCTGGGGGTGTGGGCTGGGGTCATGGGGGTGCTCCCAGCCCCCTGCCCTGAGTGGCTCACAGCAGGGGGCTCAGGGGGTACGTGTAGGAGGAGTGCAGGGGCCCCGTGCTTCCCTCCGCCCTGACCCAATTCCACTCCCTTCCCCAAGGCCCCGCCCCCGCCTCTTCTCCGCTTCCTCCCCGGAGCGTGCTGTGGCCCCACTTCTCCCTCCCGGAGTGACCTGAGCACCGGCAAACAACTGTCTGGCGGCGGGGGAAGCGCGGGGAGGGGCGGGAACGCGGCACGCTCGGGGAAGGAGGCGGGGGAGGAGGGAGCTAGGCTGTCGGTGGGTGGGAGCCTGCAGCAGGAGCCCCAGGAGCCAGCAGGACCAAGCTTCTGCCCCCGCAGCTGCCCGGCCCTGGGGCGCCCTGTCCTTGGGAGGCCCGTGCCAGGGCACCCTGTGTTTTACTGTAAATCTGCCTCTGCATGCAGATAATTCCCAGTGGGTATTGCCAGCTGCCAGGGGGCAGAATTAAGGTGGTGTCGGTATTTACCTGAACTCTATATTTTGTGGTTTCCAGAAGTTTGAGTTTTGCTGAACTCTATGTTCTGGAATGGCATGAGCTATCACCAGGCCACCATCTGTGTGAATGAACTGTTTTGCCATTTAATTATTATTTTAGGATTAAAAGCACAACTTTGAAAGCATGAATAATTGGGTGTATATTTCTAGCTTGGGGGAAAAATCCACAGAATTGAATAGGAAATGGTAACTTCTCTAGAGTTTTTATGAACCAACGTATCAAATCTAATAGAGCATTATAGCTCTGCAGCAAAATTCTATAAAGCAGGTTAAAAAAAAGCCTCTAGAAAGGATTTAATTCTCTGTTCAGTGATGCAGGGTTTAGAATAATTCCAATAGAGCCCTACTGCATTACTGAAGAACTTTCCCCCAAATGGTTGTGCTCTTTAGCCTGCAAGCAAATGCATTTTGTGCATTGTACTCATATGTACCAACCTCTGCGAGCATCTATCACCTGTGCATACAGATGGATATGCTCAAAATAAGAGGGTGGTGGGGGGTGGAAAGTGTTTGTATCCATAAAGCTTCAAGTGCACAAATGGAGCTGAGATGAGGCCACTTGGAAAATTTCACTCTTAATTTTTTTTTTCTTGAGAGCTTCTGCAGAAGCTAGTGGGGCCTCTGGAGAAGAGCTGGGACAGTATTTGGCCTGTCTCATCTCACTTGGAGCCCAGGGAGGCCTCGTTGCCTTACAAAGACTAAAGGAACTCAATCTATTTAGTTTACGGAAGAGAAGGTTAAGGAGTGATTTAATCACGGCCAAAAGTGCCTACAGAGGAAGAAGGTATCTGATGCTAGAGGGCTCTTTAATCTAGCAGGCAAAGGCATAACAAGAGCCAGTGGCTAGAAGTTGAAGTCAGCAGAGTCCAAACTGGAAATGAGGCACAACATTTTAAGTGATGGGTAATTGGAACAGATTATCAAGGGATGTGGTAAATTCTCCATCACTTAGTCTGAATGTCTATCCAAAAGATGTGTTCAGGTTCAGCTCCATGGGGTGGGGCTTGATGAAGGAATCACTGGGTGAAATTCTCTGGCCTGTGTTATACTGGAGGTCAGACTAGCTGATCCAATGATCCTTTCTGCCCTTAAAATCTATGAAATAAAGACACCTACCCTTGGGCTTTTCATCAGGGCTCCTTCTCTTCCTCCGCCGCCTCCTCCTCACTTTACAGGTCAGCAATCCACAGAGTGCAGCCAGGACCAGAACTAGCCCCACTAAAGCAGGGATCCCAAAGATCAAACCTGGGCCAGGCGCTGGTGCTTGGGTTGAAGTGGGGGCTACGTTGGTGTGGCATGCTGTGGAGGGAATTAAAGCAAGACAGGCAGTGGTCAGCCCGAGGGGACCTACTGTGCAGACTTGAGGACAGCAATCCTGCCCATGGTACCTTGGATGGTCTCAGCTTTGGGCTCAGGGGCTGGGGAGTTAAAACACAATGGATAATCCCAACATTTTCATCAAATGTGGGGCAAACTCCCTCACCAATTATAATTCCCAACATCTGCCCATTCTGCCCCCCTTACACAGGGAAGTAATAGTCCAAGTCCCCCACCTTCTCTCTCCTAAAGGATGGGGCCCATAGTGCGGATGGGGCACCTTTCATATTGCCTGTCTTTTCCATCTCTGGGGTGGGTTGAGATCTCTTTCTCTCCCTAGCTGTTGGGGTCATATTCACCTTTCTGTCTCTCCCTCCTCCCCTTCCCTGGCTGTCGGTGACTGTCCCATTCGTCCGTTTTTCTTTTCCCCACACCTCTTGGGATGAAGTTCCCCTGCCTTCCTGAACCCGTCTCCACCTTCTCTCTCTCTCATTCCTGCAGTCTCTGGAATCTTTCCCTACAAGAGGGGGCCGATCCCCAATGGGTGCCTGATCCCCATCCAGGGAACCCAGGGGCTCTCCTCTTACTTGTGTCCTCCTCGGAGTGTCCAGGCAGGTCTGTGCACCTCACACATCCCTTGGTCAAGGGGTCGAAGCACAGGGGAAGGGAGCAGGCAGCGTCCTGGTGTCTGTCTAAGCTTCCCCACGACATATCCGAGTCAGATTCAAAATTCCTTTATTGCCCGGAGACTTAGACGAATGCCGCCCAAGTGTGACTTCACAGAGCCCTGGGGCCTGTGTCAGAGGGAGATACAGTCTGTCAAGCTGTGTCTGTCCCTCGGGGGCTCCAGCTCTCTGCACTTCCCCCAGGGCGGCCCTATATCAGGGGGAGGAGGAGAGGAAATGTGCTGAAGGCGTCAGCCAAGCCTGCCCACGCAACACCCTCCTCAGCCCATCTCCCTCCCCCAACCTGCCCACCTAACAGCTCCATAGCCCATAGGAGCCACCACACCACCGCTGACTAGTTATCCTTCTAGTCCAATAACCTGCCTCCTGCCACACCACAGCCAACCACTAGTTGATCATCCAGTCTCTCCTCCAGGGAGGAGCATTGCTTGTAGAAAGAATCCAAGCAAGTGAAAGCCACAACTCAAACTCTTTCTCAGTCACTGCCCGCTAGTCCCATCCCTCTTGTCTTTTCACTTCCCTTTTCACTCACTACATCTCATCTCTCTCACCACCAATTTGGTTTTGGTTTGGAGGCCTCAGCTATGCCCTGCTTTGTGGCCTTCTCAGTTTCTGCTATTCACCCTTCTTTATCTCACTTTGAAAGGATTCCCTTTCCAACCCAGGGCTTGTTTTCGCCTCATTACGGTGCGAGAGAGCCCATTTGGGGATTGAAGCTGTGGTTCCTGGGTTTATGACTCCACTTCTCAGCACAAGTATCACTAAAACTAGAACTCTCCACATGGGCCTGTGCTTAACAAACACCCCTCTCCCCCCCCCCCCCATAGTTCTGAGCTGCAGATATGTCTGAACATGGTGGAATAATACTCAACATCACGTGTGCTGTATTTGCTCATGTTAAACAAATTCTTTATTTTGCTTCCTTTTTGCAGCTAATCTGCCTATGCATTTCTACTGCACTTTTCTCCATGGAATCAGAGCACCTCCATGTCTGTTATTTTGAACTTGCAGCTTCCCCTACTATTCCTGTCTTGGTCTTCTCTACACAGCTCTGCCAATGCACCTGAATCCTAACCTGCAGCACCCTCTGCTCTTCCAGTTCCCCTGACTTCTCTTGAGCAGCAATAGCCAATCATGCCAAACTGGATTTGTGATGTAAACAACTGCTGGCTAGAATGAGACTGAGACCCTCAAAACTCATGTCACTTGTGACCTATGTCATAGAGGAACCCATGTCTGGTCCAAAGCCCAGTGAAATTAATGGAAAGACTCCTACTGACTTAAGTGTGCTTTCATGCACTTAACACATTAACTCTTTTGTTGCATCAACAGCTCTTCCCTTCTTCTGCAACCAAAGCAACTGCAGGATGGATGGTTGTTTCACAGCAAGAGCTGTTATTCCAGTTATCATTTGGCGAATCCTAGACCCTGGAGATGAAAGAAACCAATGATGTCCCATCTTCTCTCCTACCCACAACCCTTCCATGCTTCTTCCCTACAGTATATTCTTCATTGTTTTGTCCAGTCCTGTTTTAAATTACCCCAAGGATGGGATTACTCCACTTTCTTTGGGGGACTCTTGTAGTTGAATAGATCTTAAATATTTCATGAAATCCACTCTAGCTTTCCCTTTGATCAGTTTCATCCACTTATTCCCTCACATCACTCTAAATAAAGCAACATAATTAATAGGAAAGAGAACATTTCTTCTCCAAATACACACTTTGGTTTGGTTCAATTGGAAAGGAACCAGATGAAACTCCTCGCAGGGACCCAGGATATCTGTCTGCAATTCTTGCCTGATTCCTCCTGTCCTACAGCAGATTGCTTGGTTGTGAAAATCTTCTCATCTTTCCCCTCCTGTCACTTCTCACCGCTTCACATGTATTCCTGCTGGACTGCAGGACTATCCTGCAAACAAGAAAGCTGAGCGCAAGTACCTTTCAAACAGCAGAAAGCATTGTGGGAATACTCTCTCCATGAGGCAGCACTCATGAAGGAACAGGTTGGATGAATGGAAAGAGAACTCTTACAAAATCCATACGGGTGGTTTGAAAATAAATCATGCTGTACACATGTTTATGGTGTTGAGATGTTAAAAAAAAAAACCAGGCATTTTTCAACCCATCCCCAAGTATTGTCAATCTTGAGCATTCAAAAATCATGAATGACACCCCCCAAAATTGTGAGATCATCTTAACAATAATATATAATGGGTTCTTTTTCTTTGCCTTCTGGCTTTTGAGTCTTCCAATTTCACTTGAATCATGTTTTCAAGCTTTTAGCCACAATCACGAGGGCTAGAAATGTACTTTTGTCTTTCAGTGAAAACTGGGATTATCTTGTAATCGCTTAACTTCAGGAACTGCAGCTTTAGCAAAAACACCAAACATCATGTGACTCGTGACAAAATTGCAAGAGTTGATCCTATTAGGTCGGTAAAAATCCTTTCCAAAGCAGAAGCCCCTGTCAAATCCAGCTCCTATGGAATGTGCTTTAGCATTGCAGCAGAGAGCTGAGTGAAAAAGACCCCCCACCCCCCCCCCCAATGCTCTCTGCTTCACTAATGTATGTTAGTAGCCCCACGTGTGAGCCCCCTTTCGGGGGGTCACAGGGGTATCCCTTTTTTTTTTTTTTTTTTTGTAATTGACCCAGAGCAGGTGACCGGGACTAGGAAATAAAGACCTTGTGGCACTCTGTGTGTTATGCCCTCATTACACATAGAGACAAGATGTCCAGGCCTGAAACTTCAGCTGAGAGTATGCCACAGCATTTCAAAGAGCCAGGGCACATATCCCATTGATATGATGGCTTCAACTGACAGGTGATTAACCTCTGCTAGGCCTCTTTAATAAACATCTCTGTAGCCAACAGCAGTAATCCAGCTGCTGTAAAATGCTGTTTGCAAAACATTGAGTCTGAAAAGCTTTCACTAAATGGGAGTCCTCTCTGGTACAGTCTCAGTGTCTCCATATAGACACATACACTCATTCCAGTCCTGTTTCCAGCTCTCTGCTGAGTGTGCTGGATGCAGGAATCATGACAATGCTCATGCCCAATGCGATTCCACCTCTGCAGACATCCTTCGTTATCGGGCTCCTGTGGCACCCACTGATTTGGGGTGGTTGATGAGTCAGATCAGTAGGCTGCTTACACCCATATAATGATCAGCAACAATGCTCCTCAAAAAATCTTTCTCTGGAAATATGTGTCACCAGGCAAATGGTTTCCCAGCTTCTTTGCTCGCATTAATTTCACCTGCTATTGTCTTTGTCCAAGAGGGACATTCATTCTCTTTATTTCCCATTGGCCTTCTTTACTTTCCCCCAGCCAGTTCTTTTGTGTTTTCTCTACTCCAGTCATCAAAATAACCCTAGTCTCCCATTTCCATCTCTCCTCTCCCTCCCCTCCTGCCCCTGCCCCACACTATCTCCCTCTGACCATCTTATCCCTCCCTCTTTTCCTTCTTCTTTCCACCTCTCGCTCTTTCTTCTCTTTTCTGTCTTGTTGCCCCTTTACTTAGGGTATAAGGCAGGATTCTTAGGTCTTATTCTTATTTCACCCATGAACTAAGTACGTGACCTTGGGCAACTCACTCATGGCCAAATTTTCAAAAGGGGGGGGTCTAAATAAAGGCAGTTAAGTCCATATTTTAACAGATAGGGCTGGATTTTCAATACAGCTCAGCACCCAACAGCTCCCATTTGGGCCCCTTAACAAAAAACAAACAAAAAATGGAGACGCTAATCCTTAGCCAACAGCACAGAATGTGAAGCTTGAGGCATTAATGTTTGCAGAGTGCACTGACATCATACTGTGTTGAAAGCTTCCGCTGCCTGAATGCACGTTGTTAATGAGCAATAATTCAACCCTTTTCTGTCACTCTACCCCATTTCTTTCTCTCGCTCATCTTTTGAAGTCCTGTTCTGTCACTTTCAGTCTCTCTCTGATTTCTCTTACCACCCTACCCTAAGCCTTATTGTCTGCATCTCTTCTGTGGGGCAGATAGTGAGCTCTGGTTCCCACTGCAGTTCACTCACTCATCAAAAAGCCCCATTGTCTTCCATGGAACTTTACTCATATGATTAACGACTTACCCGTGTGAACCAGGGGTCCATAGTACAGACCTTTCCCCTTTGTCTCATGCATCAGTCTCTGTCTTTTTACTCTCAACAAACAATTGATCCATTTGGATCAGCATGAGTTAAACCTGGCTCAGCAAGTGGTTAATGGCTGTGAAAGGTTTGCGTCTAAAAGTGCTACATGACAGGCAGATATCGATAATAACTCACATGAATAATTAAATAGCACAAAGTTGACTCACTGGCTAAGGAAATTCACATTTCTCATCTTGTTTGTGAAGAGATGGAAGCCCCAGGAGCTTAGGAATCTAGTTAACCAAGTAGCTTTTATTAAAGAAATAAAACAGCAAAAGTATAAAAACAGCAATTAAAAGTACGGCTTAGTTCTGGAGCTGGGAAAATCCCTCAAAATAACTTCCACTAACATTCACTTGAATGCATCAAAAATAGAATCTGCATCGGCTGAGTTTGCACCCCATTGTGTCTGGTCCCCACAAATATCTTAGCGGTGGAAATAATCACGGAACCAGTGAATTAAGGACGTGATCCTGCAAACACTTACACATACAAGTAACTTGACTCACACAAGTAGTTCTAGTTATACCAATGGGTGAGTAAAGTGACGCATCTGCACGTTTCCAGGCTTGGGCCTCTATATGTCAGAGAATATCCATTAAAAGCTAATGCTGAGCTTGTCTACATGACTATTTGCACAGGAAACCTGATTCTATGGGTTTGTCCAGATTAGAAAAGTTGCACTGGTGTAACTAAATTGATTTAAAAGTGACTGAGGTCAAGTGGGGCAAGTTCCTAATGTAGATGCACTTAAACTGGATTAAACTTAAAACTATTATTTAACCAGTTTAAACCTCACTTAAGTGCACTTCTAGTAGGGTTCAACCCCTCGTTTAAAGAATAGATTTAAGTGAGGCTTAAATCCATT